TAATAATATTTGCTTTATATCTTTAGAAAGTTATTTTGAAGATATATAAAATCTAAAAATTTAAACTAACAATATATTTAGAGAAATAATACTGTAATATGATAATCACATATATATATATATTACTTAATTGTATTTTTTTAAATATAATATTATATTATACTAAATTATTGCTTCGCAGAGGTAATAATAAAAAAAAAGAAATTATACTAACTGATCTTATAAATGGTTTTTTATGAATATCATATCTGCACTTTAAAGCTTTTTGAGGATATAATGCAGTAATGTTCTATTTAAAAAACGGATCATAAAGAATAGTATTTACTTACAGAAAGATTTTAAATAACTAATATACTACGAAGGTAGCACTTAACGGTTTATTATAAACAAGTATACTGAAATTAAAACTTGACCATTGAGTTTAATAGCTAAATAGATCGACTAATTAAAATCTATACAGGGAGCATGCCCAGGGCATAGAGAGTATGCCCCATGCAAAGACATGCCCAGGAAGGCATGCCCCGAAAATTTGCTGTGCCCCCAGGCCTACCCTTTACCAAGATTTTTTATACAAGGGCACCTCCTGCCAGTTATCTTGTATTAGAATGCTTCTGGCATATATATCAAATATTCTTTTAGAGGAGTTTTGTAAGCAAAAATATTAACCTCTAAACAAATTACTGCATAGACCCAACTCTAGCAAAAATTATGTTTTTCTATTAGTGTGAATTTTGGTTTTAATGATCATCAAAAAGAGTTGTGATAAAATTTAAAATCATATATGATATTTTTCTAAACAAATAATATATATAAAAATAAAAAAAAATATAAAAATATAAATAAAAAAAAACATATAGAAATATTATATAAAAGTAAATTAAATTATTCGAAAATTATGAATGTTGGCTATTATTGTGAGAAGGTGTAATTCATTGTGAATGTGATATAGATGAGGTACTTTCTTTCAGATTAGTTTGGCTTACATTAGAAAGAGAAAATTTATCCGGTAGTATTTTGGAAATATGTAATTTATGAGGAGATGCAGGAATAGATATAGAGCTTTGTATAGCAACTACACTTTTACTCTTTTTATATGTGCTTGTGCTCTAATTCTTTTTCTACTTTTTTTAGTTTTATGAGCCACAACTTCAGCTAGTTCATCTTCTGGTTTAGAATTTTCATTGTTAGTGGCTAGAAGAAGATATGCAGTACCTTCTTCTAACTTATTCTTATTAAGAAATATACAAAATTTAAATCAAGTTAAATGAATTTAAATGAAAAAAATATTAATTAATTTAACTTACTAAATTTTTATTTATTCGAAATATTACTATATATATATTTTTTTTCTCTTTAATAACCTCACACTAATTTATTAGAATATTATAATTTGTTATCTACTAGAGAGTTTTTGGAAGTTCTATACCTTTTCCTTCTTTTTATAATTGAAACCAGTGTTGGCAAATGACAAGATCATAAAAATTTTTATAAAAATAAAAAAATTGTATTAAGTCTTAGCAAAATAACAAATCATTAAAATTATTTTTATAAATGACATTATAAATAACAAAATAAATAACAAAGGTTTATTATTATATACAAGTAGTTAGATATTATTAGTACAATAGATAAATAAAAAATTAGTAATACTCAAATAAGTTTATTTTATTAATGATTAATTATCTAAAACGAAGTGACAGACCTTTAATTTCTATGCATAGTGATACAAAGTTACTTTCTTGATGCATTCAGTCTTAAAATATCAAAAAAGTAACTTTGCATTTTCCGTCTGTCCACTATTAGACAAAAGTTACTTTCTTGATATATTAGATATTATTGCCTTTAGAATTAAGAGTTTTTCAAAGAAAAAATTTTTTCTTACAAATAAACCTCTTTTCGACGCTTAAGTAAAGTTGTAGAGGAGTCTCTTGCGATCAGAATGG